GTTCCCTCAGCCCCAGCCAGGGACCCGCTCCCAAGGCTGCTGCCTTGGCTACCAGGGCTGGCACCAGCTGGGATGCTCGGTTTCCACAGGCTGGGGTTCAGGAATGGGATTCCTCAATTTCCTGCTCCTGCTAAAACCGCCCTGCCATTTGTTGCCCTCCCACTTACCATAGAAAGCACAAAAGGCAAAGATTCCAGGCTGGAATAAGAACAATTTACTGGGAACAGCAACAAGATGAAGAACAAACAGGAACAGAAAAAATATTGACAACAGAAGGGATAAGAAAAACTAATTACAGGGAAAACTACATCACCATCACTTGTATCTTCCTGGCCACGTGTTTCCTCCTGCATGGAAAGGACACCCTTCTCCTCAGGGAAAGACAGAGTCCCTTTCCTGCCCCTGGCAATGACCTGAGGTGGGAGTGAATGTAGTGACAGGGCCATGGCCAGACCCTCATGTCCTTCAATCCCACATAAGGTCATTGGCAGGGGCAGGAAAAGGGACAGGTGTCTTCCCAGCATGGATCACAGGGAACATGGATCACCAGGGCTCTTCCCAACAGGGTCTCCTCCAATGGGGGATGAAGCTGGAGCAGTGCACAAAGCTCTTCCTGCAGCTGGGGCATTTTCAGGAGTTCCCTTACTGGTGGCTCTGTTGGTGTTTGGTCAAGTGAGAGCTCCGGGTGAAGTTCTTCCCACACTGGGGACACAAGTATGGCCTCTCCCCAGTGTGGATGCGTTGGTGGCTGACAAGATGGGAGTTGTGCTTGAAGCCCTTGCCACAGTCGGGGCAGAGGAAGCGCCTCTCCTCAGTGTGAATCCGCTCATGCAGGAGGAGATTTGAGCTGCTCTGAAACCTCTTCCCACAAGTGGGACATATGTAGGGCCTGTCCCAGGTGTGGATTCGCTGGTGCCTGATGAGGTGGGAGTTCCGCTTGAAGCCCTTCCTGCAGTAAGGGCAGCAGAAGGGCTTCTCATCCATGTGAATGCGCTGGTGTACAAGGAGATTGGAGCTGGTCTGAAAACTCTTACAACACTTGGGACACTCGTAGGGCCTCTCCCCAGTGTGGATGCGTTGGTGGATGATGAGGTCGGAGCTCCATCTGAAGCCCTTCCCACATTCCCCACACTCGTAGGGCCTCTCCCCAGTGTGGATGCATTGGTGGCTGACAAGGTGAGAGTTGGAACTGAATCCCTTCCCACACTCCCCACACTTGTAGGGCCTCTCCCCAGTGTGGATGTGTAAGTGCCTGACAAGGTTGGAGCTGCAGCTGAATCCCTTCCCACACTCCCCACACTCGTAGGGCCTCTCCCCAGTGTGGATGTGTAAGTGCCTGACAAGGTGGGAGTTGCAGCTGAAGCCCTTCCCACACTTCCCACACTCATAGGCCCATTCCCCTGTGTGGATCATCTGGTGTAGTTTCAGATTTTTGCTCTGGCTGAAGCTCTTCCCACACTCCAAGCACTTGTAGGGCTTCTCCCCATCAGGAAGCTGCTCAGGGACCACCAGCTCTGAGCTCTGGCTGAAGCTCTGCCCACCTTCCTGGCCCAGAGTGGGTCTTTCCTCCTCAGAGCATCCTGGGCTGGGCTTGCAGCCCCTCCTCCTGTCAGATCTCCAGGGATTTTCCTCCCTGGTGGATTCTTGCGCTGTGGAGTTGCTCACAATGGCCTCTTCCATGAGGTTCTGCTGCAGGGATTTGTCTTTCCTGGTTTCCATCCTCAGCTCCTGCTCTGGGGGAGGAAGGACAAGGAGAGGATGGGATTAGCCTCCATGCCACAGGGAAGGACAAGGAGATCCCCCCAGAGGATCCCTGGCAGGAGGGTATCGGCAGCGGGGCTGTCCTGCAGCCGGGGGCCAGGCTGGGCTGGGAGATGGAGCAGGAGAGAGGGGGAAAGGGGCACTGACTTCCTCCTCACCTGCCTTGGTGTCCCAGGGCATCTTCCTCTTCCTTGCAACCTTCTTCTCCATCTGGCGAATGTTTGGGCATGGGAAATCCTGTTTTGGGAGGAAAACAAGGGATGAGCACAGTGAGTTTTGTACTGGTTTGAACACAAACCAGGGGGAGAGTTTTAAGCCAGAATGACAATTGAATAAGAAAATTAAGATCACGGCAATGATACAGAAACACTGGCTTAATCTGACAGAGTCAGGATATAACCTGACACCCCGTTGGTCAGGGTGGTGGTAGCTGTCTGATGAAATGGTGGCTGCAGTCCAGCTGGAGTGATAAACGTGATTCTGTCAAAGCCGTGATCCTGGTCTTCCTCTGAAGGTCCAGTGGTGGTTATGGAGCTCTTGTCCTCTGGGAATCCAGTAG